GGTGGGTGGGTGGATGGAAGGATGAATGGATGGATGGATCGATGGGTCGGTGGGCGGGTGGGTGGATGGATGGATGGATGTATGGATGGATGTGTGAACGGACGGAATGACGGACAGACGGACAGACCCACAGACATATGGCTGGACAGATGGATGGATGGATGGATGGATAAATCTGTTTCCTTATCTCTCTTTACAGAAGCCCAGCACAGGAAAAGGACTTAAACATTCTCACTGCCAAAGCTGACTATCCAAATAGTGCAGACAACAATATTGAAAACTCAAAGAATGACAATAAAACGAAAGAAAATTGTCAGACATTCCAAAAAGAGTTGGAAAAGATCAGAGAACTTAACGCAGACAAAGATTTCACCTTGACCCCTCCTGCTGCGAACCAATCAGGTGGATTCAACAGCCCTAGTGTCCTTGAACCTTTGTCGGACCTCTTTACGCAAATCGTCGGTGGGACAGGTCACCAAAGAGTCGACCTTGAGGCGTTCCAGTCCTTTGTTCAGTAAGTTTTTTTTTCTTTCAAACATAAAACTATAATGGCACTTTTGAACCAGCGACTGTGGTCTTATGATAAACGTCTTTCCGTTAGATGCAAGGGACGTGAGTTCAATTCCCAAGTGGGTAAGATAGTTTGCCTAGTATGCTTGTCTTTGTTCTGGTTCTGTTATAAGCTAGAGTCGAAGTAGCCTCTTGCATTTGTTGACTAAATTGTTTTGATTTGAGCATAATAAGGCATTTACAGTCATTCAGTTAAATGCTATTTCGAAGAAGGAGCACTCTGCACAGTGGCCGTAGACACAAATGTTTGGAGGAGCAAAGAAGAAGAGGGGAAACGAATACTGGTGAAAAGGAAACAATGGAGAATTAGAGAGGAGAAAAGAATAAAACTGGAGTTTCCCAGAAACAAAATGAAACGAAGTAATGTTATGACTTCGATTACTGGCTCCGTCACATCATTTTGTATACCATGTACTACAGCTGGGCGAAGAGTCGATTCCTGAACCGGTTCCCACCATGAATACTACGGAAAATCCGTCTCCTTTTCACGTAAACTAACGGTTGCCATTAACTTTTGTCATTAAAATCAAGTTGATGCCTTGTAGTGTTCCGAAATCAAGGTTATCCCAAATCCTGAAAATGGTCGGAGCCAACCAGGTAACCACCGGGGAAAAAAATCACCATATTATAATGTAAGTAATTGGGTTCGGAGTCGATTCCTACGATTCCTAGCTTTCAATAATCGGGAACCTCGCCGCCCAGCACAACCATGTACGGTACTTTGCCTACATTACTGATTGTTCTGCTTTGCTTTCCAAATGAATCTTTCAGGAAGAGCGGTTTGTCTCAAAAAGGTGTGGACTCTTCAGCCGCGAAGGAGATCTACAGTCGGTTGAGTCAGCTTTACAGTAACTCGAACCTTAACAACAACAAAGGTAAGAGATACTCTCTGACCAAAGAGGTTATATAACATAATACCAGAGCTCACAGCAGTGACGTCACACGTGCCAGATAATATATGAGGGCCTTCCACATTCGACAGCACAAAGTCTGCTTCGACTATCAAGCCATCTAGGAAATAGTAATTCACAAGAGCGTGACAAACATACAAAAGAAGTAGAGGAAAAATGACGATAGTAAGAAGGAGAAAAGAAAAAGCAGCAGAACCCCTTTTGTCTTTCTGGCACAGTATGAGCATGACATTGATAAATCAGCCCATTTACATGTCTACTGTGCATAAGAACATGTCAATATCTCCCCTTTGGGAATGGTCTAAAGACAACTTCCTTCAGTAGCACTGCTCTAGTGGGAGGGGGTAGGGGGGATAGAGAATCTTAGTCTCAGATGGGACAGGGTCTCCTTCTGGTTGTTGTTGTTGTTGTTGTTGTTGTTGTTGTTGTTGTTGTTGTTGTTGTTGT